TTCAAATGTGCATAATGTAAAATATCGTTAGGAAATGCACATATTTGATACAATTAAACCGTTGCCTAGTTCTTATCACTTACCGCTTTTTGTAATCAAAGGCACTAAAGTAACGGAAACATGCTTAGGAAGCGTAAATTCTCTGTGCCCTTATATTTTGACGTAAGGTATACTATTTGGAACAATACACTATAACAGATAGGTAAGTTATATTCGTTCTGTGGCCGAATTTCAAATACACGCCGCCTTTAAAATCTTTGGCGACCCCTGCTGCTATTGGTTGCCTTCAAAAAGTGAATTGGATAAAATTTATCTTTCACCACAACTAATTAAGTATTAACACACTTACCTGTTCGCCTTTTATTCTCCAAGTTCTTTTATATGATACCCATATCGCTGATATTATTGAGAAAAAATGAATGCACCAGGTCAGCTGTCCAGCATATTTGTTTTAGAATTAACGCATTTTTAGACAGATAATATGAGGAATATACGAAATAGTTTGAAACATTCTGTCTAGTTTACCTAAGCAGCATGAAACCTCAAAAAAGTGAAAAAAAGAAAATGTAATCCAAATTTTCCCATTTTTCCGCATAAATAGTAGCCTTTTTTGTATAGTAAATGTGGGAAATTACCACGTTCCATCTTTTAGTGAGTAATGAGTAAAAACCCATATATTTTTGTTTAAAAAAAGGGACCTGCTTTCAGTTTACGCTTTATCGCGGGCTTGTGCTCTCAAATGTGCTTGTGCGTGCAAAAACTTGCAGTGAAAATTGAAATCGATATCCTCATTTTTGCGACTGGGAGAGTGTCAACACTACACATCATACACACGGAGAGACATCGCCTAATTAAATCCGAATTTCATCCTGATCAAGAATATCTACAGTTCGTAGAGTGTCTGAAACTTCCTTGTGGGTGTTGCAAACATTATAACATAATGAGTACATCCCCCATTCTTCAATGGTAGTTGTAACAAATAATATGCATATGTGAGCATATAGCTAAGAAAACATAATAATTGACATAAAATACCCGAAAGTCATAAATAATAATAAAGTATAGCACATTCCTTTAAAAACGAATCCGAAGGGTTGCATAACAACATTCATACATACATTCGGATTAAGTTTTGATAAATATATTGATCAATTCACCTAGTACTTGAACCGACGTTAAAATATATATATAAATAACGAGATCTGAGAATATTGTTTAATTAGCTTCAAGATGACAATCGAGATTTGAACAAGACGCTCGACTGTGGTTAATTGATCTTGCTATTTTAATATAAATAACTAGTTTACCTTTTTATAATATTTCTAAAGCCTTTTTTTAGGATATTAACAATGAACAGCCTAAGTAGCAGCTGGTATATCCAAGCTATTAATAGTTTATACAATTCCCACGAGCCAAATCAGATATTTGTTATTTTATTACTTTTTTTATTTACATTTTCTCTCATTCTTTCATACAATGTACCGGGATTAAACCGTTCTATTTACATCATACGCGCTTATTCAAAACTAGTATTTGTTTTATATCGGCAGCCCTCTAAACGAAATTTTCATCGCAATCTTTTGAACTTAAAGCCATTTTCTCTTCTTGCAGACAAAGTTTAGATTTTCACTAACACATAGCAGTGCGGCAAAGAGGCAGATATTATTTACTCTGGGGTTTACGGCTTTATATATCTCACGAATATATGTAACTCATGGAATATTCAAGGTGATATGTGCTTAAGCCACGCCTTGTTTTCTTTAACTGTAAGAAACAGTCATTTTTTTACTTAACATACAGAGCCGTTCGGTATTTTTCGGAATTTTTGCAGTTTATTAATCTTTTCTTCTAATTTACAAATCAACAAAGTTTTTAGCTGTAAATCGAATACTTTCTTTTTGACATCAACTCCTAAACTTTCTCATCGTCTTCAAAGAGATCTCTCCTGAACTTTTCAATTAATTAAAATTGTAAAAATGCACGCTTTTAGATGAATTTAAAAAAAAATTAATTACTGAAAATGCATCCATGACATTTAATAAAAAAAAGAAAAAAAACATTAATTTGGATAAGGCGCGACAAAAATGGAAATGTCTTATTACATTTCGATTTCAGCCTTACAGGGCAACAATAGGGGTAACAAGTAATTTTTACATTTTTGCTGTTTGTACCTGTCGATTTACGTGTCTGATTGTTTTGAGAGATGGAGCGAGTGAGGCAGAGAGAGATAAATAGAGGGTGAGAAGAGCGAGCCCTCTGCCTGCTGAGATTCACGAAAGTAAAAGGCAAAAGTTTTACACAAATATTTTTATTTTAGACACAGCCGGAGGCAATAGTCATAAATAATATCAGTTCATCTGCAAATCGTTGCTTTGCGCACTAATGTAGGATACAAATATTTCGTCCGATGTAATCGAGATGCCTACATCTGCGCTTCATAATCTTTACCAATCCAATAAATTTCTTATGACTGGGTACAAAAATGTTTGGATTTACATTTTTATGATTATCACTTTGGAATCGTGTTACTGCTTAACTAATTGCTTGCTTATATTTTTGTAATCGTAATATGTTTAAGACCGTTAAAATCAATCTCCAGAGAGTGAAGTAAATAACAGTCAATAGTGGCGAAATTCGGGCTATGCAGAGAAGGCATCAAAACTTCTAAGCGAATTGTAAATATTTGTCGTGTCATTAAAGATATGTATCGCCCGATATTATCGCGGTGAAAGATTACTTTTTCCTATCTCGATTTTGGACGTTTCACCCCAATGACACGTCAGTCGCATCAGTTATTGGCGGTAGAAGGCCAACCAATCGTTTGGCCAGATTGATTTCACAATGCTTTATAAAAACATGTTAAAAACCCTACAGCAATCTACAAGTATTCATATAACGACATTTGGGTCATTATATGGAAAGCCGTTGAAAAAGTTGTCTGAACCCTTCTCAATGGCGTTCGTTCTTGGACGAAAATTAGTCAGTGTAGCATATTTCAACTAAATATCTCCAGGTAGAAATATGGATGAACAATTAGCAGCAATTTAAACGAAAAACTTCTTTTCAAGTCGTTTAAGTACCTTTAAGCTTTGGTGATCGTTTAAATTATACATAAAACTGGCGTGAAGTTAGCCCGCCGTGGACAATCCACTTATGTGTTTTCGGTAAAACACTTGGCTCGCACCTTTATTAAGATAATTAATAGTTTGCCGATATTGCAGAAATAACAATATGATTATAAAAAAAAAAACTAAACAAAATACATTAAATCCAAACGTAAGCAAAAAACAAAATTTGTTGTTACTTGTTGCCATCAGGCAGACGTAAAAAAAAGAAAAAGAAAAGAAAAATTACAATATACAAAGTAAGTTACAAAAAAATGTAGAGAATTAACACAATTTCAGTTTCTTTATATGTTTTGAAAGACGCCGAAAGCTTTTAGAAAAGCCTAACTTTGTTACTATGACCAGGATTCATCACCGCTAAAATCCTCTATATATATACACTGAATTAATTATAAAATATTCATTTTTAGTAAAGATATAACTCAAAATATCTGGCTATCTTCACTTCGGTATATACTACAATGTCTTTTTCTTTTGTCTTCCTCTCGCATTCCGCTCTATATGCTACACGTGCGTAAATTCTCAAATCACACGTATGAAATGTCTATAACCAGCAAGCTGCTTTAAAAATCATCGCACGATTTTATTTTGTATTCAGATATTGTTCGCTTAACTATTACTTTATTAAACCGTCATGTACTTTATTTTTATTTGATTATCTTTTTATTTAAACATACAAACCATTAAAAATAATGTGAAAAATTCAAGCATAGATACGATTCAGAAGTTATAATATGAATATAATATAGCAAATTAAGAAGAAAGATAGATTGAAAAAATTAGCAAGAAATTTACTAACGGTCTTCAAGTGAAGCCGCAGCGAGTTAAGACATGGAAATCGTAAAGTTTTGAACTGCAAATGTTTTTATGTTGTTATTATTTATACGTCATAGGATTTCTGAACGTTTCGACAAAATTAATGCATTGTATATATAAAGATATTTGAACTCTTCCGTTAATGATAATGAAAAAAGGGTAGTTTAAAAAAAGTATTTAATTCGACTTTTTTTAATGCACTCAGAACAAAACATGAAGATTACAATTTTAATTTCTTCTATTTTCTTCCTTCTCTTTTTATACGTCCGATAAATTAATGTGCAATAGCATAATAGGTTAATAAGAAAGAAATTTACGAAAGCTTTCGTGTGCTAACCCTCCTTTCCTTTTATAATCCCACTCACTCACTCACACTCTCGTGCCACCTATATTCACCTAAATCACGTAAATCTATGCAAAAGTACCTGCCGTATGAGCAAAAAAAAAGCGAAAAATGGGTGTGAGTATAGTATAGTATAGTACTAGTATAGTATAATATAATATAGCACATTATATACACTATACTATGCTCCAGTATAGTACAATGTACTATACTATACTCTAGTATAGTATAATATATTCTAGTACAAAATACACTATACTATAGTATAGTATAGAATATACTATACTATAGTATATATAGTATATAGTATAGTATATTCTAGTAAGAAATACACTATAATGTAGGATAATAAATTTCAGTACAAATTACACTATACTGTAGTAAATAATATTCTAGTACAAAATTTTCAAACGCTACCAGGAGAACGTTTACCAGAAATAATACAAAGTTACCGTAAACACTTTCTAATGTTCTGCTTCAGTCATCCGCGTTCCACCATATAGAAAGCGTTCAGCATTCACAAGGGTACAGACTTTAGAAAGCAGATGAATAATGTTAAGCATACCTTTAAGCTTGTCAGTGGCATATTTGACTTTGAGTACTTTTTATCAAAAATAAAAATAAATGTTCCACAGCGAATGTCAACTGCCTTCATTTTCTAATATTTGAGAAAAATC